GTCCACCCCACGCGACCTTCCAAGCCCACAAGAATCACAAAAGCGGCGACATTTGCGCACTTCGCAGCCACGCAGGGAGCCGCGAGGTTCCAACTGGGTCCGAGTACCACTCCACCGCGCTGACCTCCCAGGACCCCGCGAAAACGGCAACAATTCCGCGCTTTGCAGCGACGCAAAGAACCGCGATCTCCCAACTGGGCCCGCGCACCACTCCACCGCGCTGGACCTCTCAGGACCCAACGAAAACGGCGACAACTGCTCAATTCGCAGCCACGCGGGGAGCCGCGAGGGCCCAACTGGACCCCTGGACAACTCCACTCCGCGCTGGACATCCCAGGACCCCACGAAAACGGCGACGATTGCGTAATTCGCAGACCTCCAGGGAGCCGCGAGGTCCCCACTGGATCCCTGGACAACTCCACTGCGCGCTGGACCTCCCAAACCCCCACGAAACGGGCGACAACTGCCCGCTTCGCAGCGACGCAAAAAAAAACGCGATCTCCCAACTGGGTCCGCGTACCACTCCACCGCGCTGGACCTCCCAAGACCCCATGAGAACGGTGACACTTGCGCACTTCGCAGCCACGCAGGGAGCCGCGAGGTCCCAACTGGACCCCTGGGTTACTCCACTCCGCGCTGGACCCCCCTGGACCCCGCGAAAACGGCGACAATCGAACAAAACTTCGCCGCCACGCAGGGAGCCACGAGGTCCCAACTGAATCCCTGGATAACTCCACTCCGCACTGGACTTCCCAGTAGCGCCACGAAGACGGCGACAAGCGCGCACTTCGCAGCCACGCAGGGAGCCGCGAAGTCCCAACTGGATCCCTGGACAACTCCACTCCGCGCTGGACCTCCCAGGACCCCACGAAAACGGCGACAATTGAATAGAACTTCGCACTTCGCGGCCACGCTGGGAGCCGCGAGGTCCCAACTGGATCCCTGGACAACTCCACCGCGCTGGACATCCCAGAACCCCACGAAAACGGCGACAATTGCGCACTTCGCAGCCACGGAGGGAGCCGCGAGGTCCCCACTGGATCCCTGGACAACTCCACTCCGCGCTGGACCTCTCAGGAAATCTCAGGACCCCCTGAAAACGGCGACAGTTGCGCACTTCGCAGCCACGCAGGGAGCTGCGAGGGCCCAACTGGGCCTGCGTACCACTCCACGCGCTGGACCTATCCCAAGAGCCCACAGAAGTGGGGGCAATTGCGCAATTCGCAGCCTCCCGGGGAACCGCGAGGTCCCAACTGGATCCCTGGACAACTCCACTCCGCGCTGGACCTCCCAGAACCCCACGAAAACGGCGACAATTGCGCACTTCGCAGCCACGGAGGGAGCCGCGAGGTCCTGACTGGATCCCTGGACGACCCCACTCCGCGCTGGACCTCCCAGGACCCCATGAAAACGGTGACACTTGCGCAATTCGCAGCCATGCAGGGGGTCGCGAGGTCCCAACTGGGTCCGCGTACCACCCCACCGCGCTGGACCTCCCAGGACCCCACGAAAACGGCGACAATTGCGCCCTTCGCAGCGACGCGGGGAGCCGCGAGGCCCCAACTCTGGCCCTGGACAACTCCACTCGGCGCTGGACCTCCCAGGAGCCCACAGAAGTGGCGACAATTGCGCGCCAGGAAACGCGCCTTCGGAACCCCCGATGGCCAGGCGGGAACTTGGCCGAAATAATGGTCTAGAGGACGAACGCCCTGCCGTTGATCGACGGCGCGGGGGCTGCGCGCGCCTGGCCCTCACCAGGCCCAGAAAGTCGGGATCCTTGAACCCTTGGATGGTCATCCTGCACTTCACGACCTGGTTATCGTTGTCATCCTCCTTCTCCGTCAAGACTGGCCGCGACTTCATGATGCGGCTCGGCCGGGTCGACCTCAACCTCCTCGCGACTCGACCCCGGGGGGGTCGGGCGCCATGCCTTGGTCGCGCGGATCAGCTCGTCGCGCCCCTTCGCGCAGCCCTTCGCGATCAGCTCCAGCCCAGCCTGACTCTTCCACCTCGGGCCCTTCTGATCTAGCTCCATCCCCCCCGGGCCAGGAAGACCTCGCCCGCGCCATCGGCCAGGATCTCGCCGCCGTCGTCGCCGTCAGCCGCAGCGGCCACGGCCAGAGCAGACAGGACTCGCAGCAACTTGCGACGTCGGGCGCCTTGGGCTGACGCACTCCTCGCGGCCCCCTGCGGAGCGCCCCCTGCGAATCTGGGTCGCTTCACCTCCGCCGCCGTCGACTTGACCCCCAACCGCTTCCAAGGCTCGGGCACCTCGGGGGCGTCGACCGCCACTGCGTCGCCGCCCTCACGTTCGCGCGCCTCCTCTTGACAACCCAATAGATCGCCCGGCTCGCCCTCGGGGAACGGGGCCTCCGCTGGCTCCTCGGGCGACGTCTCCGTCCCCTCCTGGGGCCCCAGCTCAGCCTGGCCCTGGGGCGGAGCAGCCGGCGCACCAGGGCCTCCGTCGTCTCCTCGAGCGGCGGCCCATTATCCCCCTCTGCCTCTGGCGGGCGAGAGTCGGCAGTGATGCGCCGGTAGCGCTGCGCCTTCAGCTCGTCCGGGCCGACGGCGCGCGCGCGCGGCGACGACCCCGCCAGGCGCCGGCCTGCGCGCCCCCCCGAGCTGGCGGCCCGCAGCTGCATCTGGCGACGCCTCTATGCACGCATCCTGGCACGGCGACCCAATCGTTCCCGCGGACTGCGCCCACGCACGCGCCAGGTCGCCAGCGGCGGCGGGCCCGGCGTCTTCGCAGACCGCCTCCGCCGCCCTTCGCCACCTTCCCCCCGACGGCCACCGCGCCGCCTGGCCCGCGCACCACGCGGCGTCGAGGACGAGCGCCCAGGGCTAGACGGGTCACCCGCTTGTCGCTGTAGCCTGCAGCTCTGAACTCGACGCCGAGCCACGGCTCTGTCGGGCGGTGAACACGGCCGGCGGGCCGTGCAAGACGGAGCTGTTGGCCGCGACGTCAGGCGAGTCAACCAGCAAGTCCTATGGCACCTCTGGGGTTGCGCCCGCGCGCGACCTGCGCCGGGCCCGCCCCCCCGACGCTCAGAGGACGAAGTCCTGGCCTCCTGCACATGGCCCCGCACTCTCGCCACTCGCCTCGACCCCGGGGCCGGCCTCGGCGACCACGGCGCGCAGCATCTGAGCAAAACATTGCC